TTATAGAAACCATAAATTATTCATATTCCATCAGCTAAATTCCACCCCATCCCACTCTTCTTGAAAACCAATGTAGCTACCTATACAAATTTGTTTTTAACACAATGTATGTTCTACATAATCTACTTAAATTGTACACTGAATCTTTAAAGAAAGGAAGTCTCTTCTTTCCTAATTCCTTACGTCTTCATTTAAAAGGGCCAAATCATTGTACATACACTCCTCATAAAAACATTTAAGAATCTAAACCAAACTCAAAGTCAAACAGGTGACAACAAAACTTAGGGAGAGTATCAGTAACCAAAGTGGTTAATTACTGCAATAGTTAAAACTACATCCATATTAAATGATATAATCATCCCTCTAATTACTACCAAAACTACAGGTAAACTTCCTACAAGTGGGTTTCTGAAAAATAAATACTTGCTAAAAGTACTTCAACAGTGAATTTCTGGGTAAGCATCACTTACTTTAAAAAAAAAAAAAACCCAGACACACTGAATGGATACAATCCCTTAGGAATCTGTGACACTGGACACATTTCAAAGTAATAACCATGCATAGATTTCTGTAACCGACCAGGTCACATAGTTTATGGAAGTAACAAGAGAACTCATTTTCAATGCTATATTCTTCTCACTGGGGGCTACCAGGTTTGAGTGGAAACTGAAGAGGAGAGACTTCGAAAGGCATGCAATCAAAAGACAACAACTTTGATTCTAAGCCAATACATAAGCACGATCAAAAGAAACTGGTTAAGGGTTGTAGGCCACCTTTAATCAAACTTTCACTCATTCAGGCCATTATTAAAGACTGCTTCATGAAAGCATGAGCAAAGCAATCTAATTTCAGCATCATCCAGAGTTAGATACATATCCACTAAAAATAAAAATAAAAGTTTTATCTCACATGTGCCAACATATCTTTAATTCAGTCTAGTAAGTTGACAAGCCCATCTATGGTCCCCAGAACCTTGATAATACTGTAAACACAAATTCCAAAAGGTATTACTACTCTAAAACCAGAAGTCCTCATTTAATGACCTAGCACAACATGACAAGCAACTTTAACCTACAACCCCATCCCACATAAAATATTGCTAAGTTTCTATCACATTCTTTAAGGTTTCTAAAAGATCTGCAAAAGACTACCTCTAATCGTCCACTGCCAATCTGTGGTACATTAGGCACTTAGCTAGAACTCCATATTCAAATAAATGTTGAAGTTGCTTCTTTTACAAGATTCAAAATTGCTAAACTAAAAGTTCAACAATTCTCTAATTTGTATACAGCTCCTACAGAGATTCTTTTAAGTAGCACAAAAATAAAGCTTTAATATAAAAATTATTTTTATAGATCAGTAGATTTGACAAATGCAAACACTTACCTAAAATAAGCCACAAGAGAAACAATGGTCTACAAATTTAAACTTCATAGAAAGAAATTTTCATATAGATTCTAACAAACTGTATCTATAAAGTGCCACGTTCTCCACTAAATCACTAACTCTACCAGGGTTTTCAAATAAAGGGATGAAGAAAAGTATCAGAGGATGGCAGTTATAAGCATAAAACACAACTAAACTAACCTGGATGATGCTATGATAAAAATAATGTCTTCCACACCCAGATTAAATTGTACTAAGTGTATTATCAAACCAGATGAGAAAATAATCTAGTAATTCAATAGCACTGTTAAAATACAGTCTGCAAATCAAAAGAAGTCCTACAAAATTAATGTTTAACTACTTTACCCTCAAGGAAATAGAAAATGGTAATGCTAGTCTTGACCTGAATGTTTTGCACTCAAGTCTCTACACTGTAGTTATTTCATGCCCTATTCCCTTAACGGTATTCAAATGTAAATACAGGTAGGCACTATGGTTCTAGAAAAAAAGCATCAGTTTTGGAGGCCAATCTGCTCCTACTACATGGAGTCTGGTGATGTAATTTCTTCACCTACTATTTTGACGGGGTGGGGGGGACACACACACCTAATCCACTGTGTATAGCTATGAAAAATTTAGTTGTCTAACCTAAAACTAAAGTGCAATTCAACTAACATGGTGGTAGTAACCTACTGATCCAAAACCAAAGAATTATTCTTGCATTATCCATTCCACTACTTCCCAGCAATAACTCAAAATGTTGAGAACACAGGAAAACACAAAACCAACCTCAATAATAAAAGCAAACAAAATTATTTTTGTTCAGTCAAAGATCTATTTATTTTCAACAGGTCTTAAAAGACTGAGATCTACTGAGCCAAACTAATGTAACTTAACTAAAATGTTCATGTGTGAAGGGTTTTAAGCTCAGGAGAGAAGAATTACATGTTGGGCCATCCCGACAGAGAAAAAAATGTTGACTGTGTGTTTTCTGCTGCCTACAGAAAATCTTGCCCTCACCTATTTTATTCTCACTCACTGTGAAATATGTGAATAGATGTGTACCTAGGGCAACATGTTTATTACATCAGCAATAAATGTAATCAGTGATAGCTGGATACTTACAAGTGTTAACCATGGCACTAAATCCTATTTATAAAGTCCAATGCAAGTCAACACACCATAATATCCTAATTATGGTAACTTGAAATTACTGAAGCAACCTTTTGTGAAATTATGCAGGAATTCCTGCAATAAATTACAAGCAGCATATAGTATATTGCTACCTCTCCAAATTAAAACACACACACACACACACACACAATTGGTACAAACTGGGATTAGTTACTTACAGTAGTTGTTACTATAATTCCTGAGAGAGATTTCTAGTTGTTATTTTTCTGAGACTCTATTTCACAGGAATGAGTCTTCACTCCAGTCGTCCTATTCCACCATTCCACCCACCACGAATTACAGGAGTAAGGACTCCCTGTGTTCTCAAGTGGGGCTGCTTCATTTTCCGAGAGCATTTTGGCATCACTGGCTCCCATTCACCAAACACCAGATGCAGGGTATGCATCTCCTTCCACCCACCTCCCCCCGAAAAAACCCCACAAATTTCTGCATGTCCTCTAGGATATAACAATAGCCCCAAGTTGAGAAACACTGTATTTTGTTAGTGCCCTTAAAGCTCCATTCTGAGGAGGAAAAACATTTAGAAATGTATGGTTTAGTATTCACTTATGAAAAATGATTCCTAGGTTATCTATATTTTATCACCTAATAGTTACTGCAACTGAATTTTTTTCCTCAAAATAACTCAGGCTAAATTTTCTCCTTTCTACTACAAGCTTAATATAAGCTACAAAGTACAAGCTGAATTTCTTCTAATTCTGGGCCAAATGAAGTGGTTACCAACTAGTTGTTTAAACTGACCCAAAAACCAGCCATGGATTCAGTTATGTAAGATTTTTTATGTTGTTATATATGTTTATGAAGGAGATGTTGCCAATTTTCAAATATTTGAGGTACTAAGGACCAACTAATAACATCAAAAACTTAATTTAAGATTACACCCTTCAGTAAACCTAGTTTCCCAGTAACAGCAAGACATTCTTATTCCTACTAATATACTAGCCTCAAACAATAGTCTTAAAAATGAACACTGTTAAAAAAATAAGTTAAAGTTGACAACCTCATTGCCCTTCAATTGGTAGTGACAAGTTATCACACAAAGGCTTGCTACACAAATGTGTAAACAAAACCTTCACCCATCTCACACACAGCACTCAACACATACTATGCAAAACGAGTATTAGTCTATATTGCCAGATCTTCCAGAAACGTTTTAATAAAAATTGGCCATTTCCAAGAATACCCACTGCATGCCCACCAGTAAAAGGGAACCATAACAAAACAGAAAATTTACCATATGGCTATGAATAAAAGAAGAAGAAAAAAAAAAAAACTAGCACACACTCAAGCACACCATCAAAGGCCAATATTAATGTCACATTCTTTCTTATGGGTTATGATTAGGATTCTGAATAGACACTGAAATAAAACTTAATACAAATGCTGAACTATTCAGGTCAAAGGACTCTACAGACGCATCTGTACTCAAAGGCATTCCAGTTTGAGACTCAATTTCAGGATAAGGCATAACAAATGAACACAAGACATACAGGGTAAAAAAGGAAGTCATAATTCCCAACATACTCTGAACCTGACAGAACAAATCTAGGGGTCTTTCTTTTTATTATTTTCTTCAAACAATTGCCAAGACTGGAATCAAAGATAAATAGAAGGCACAACAGTTTTGCTCTGGTTTTGTGTTACTTAGATTTGGAAATTTTTTTTGTTCTTTTTTCTTTTTTTACAAATACAAATTAAACATGAAAAAAACTACTTCAAAAAAAATCTAACAGTTCAAGAAAAGCTTATCAGTTGCATTCTAGACATTTAAACCTATCTCACAATTTAAATTCCAATGTCAAAAACAGTAGATTTTGAAACTGTTTTGTGATCATATTTTAAAAGAAAACTCTACTAACACCTTTTATTCAGTTTTTAACCACATCAACGAGAATCAAAGTTGTCAATTTTTCCAATGGCAATTTCTCCACACCAGAAGATAGTCATGACTCGCAAAGAAGAAAACAATTTGGATTTCTCTGGTCTTCAAAATGTTTATCAAATCCTGTAATTCTCACAGGCTTTTGAAACACATAGAAAGTAAGTAAGAAATAGTCCAATGAATGAAACATACCAAATGTCAGTAAGAAGCAAGACACATTCCTTTGGGGAAACTGTTAAAAAAAAAAATCCAGTCTGTATATGCAAATAAAGCAAAGAAATTCAGTCTTTTTTTTTTCTTCTTTAAAAATCCATTTTTCCTAAAATATCATTCCACAAAATTGGAAGTGAAGGACTAAAAGGTGGGAGGCAGGGGAGAGAAGGAGCACACACCATTAACACAGAAAGTAAAATTGTACAAACTTAAGCAGTTTATAATAGACTAGGATCATATTCCAAGATACCAAGGTTGGTTGAAGAAATTCATCATTCTGTGGGAGCTAGTTTGTACTGCTGCCTGAAGACTGGTGAAGAGCAATTCACTGCCTTGGAGCAATGCTCCTGCCCACTCCAAATCCTGGTTTCTGCACCATGCCTCCACGGGGTGGGCCTCTCATACCACCACCCAGCCCACCTCGAGGACCTCCAGGTCCCCGCAGGCGGTTATCTCGGCGGTCCCCTTCACGGGCGGCTCGAGTCTTCTTTTCTTCCACATTCAGACGGACCTCTCCTCTGAACATGATGGGCTGTAAGAATCAAGGTGAACAGATTTATAGAGGGCTTATGAACTACTCTCAAAAGAGTAGCAAAAGAGCTTATGAGCTAGCTTTCAAAGATAAAAGAAAGCTAAAAAAAGAAAAACAAAACAAAGAACCAGCAGCTTACAAATCAGCTACCTTCTCACAGTTCACTTTTTGTCTCAAACTCAGAACATATAATTTTTCCATTAACAGATACATGAAAAAGTAATTAGGTATTCAAGTTAGTTCAAAAGTTAAAAAGTCCACTGGTGCACAGCAGTACAAGTAACTCTTATTAAAGTAAACCTTACCTTCTCATAGAATTATGTAAGTGGAATATAAATAAAAATTGCCACCTTCTCAGGGATTGGGAGACTTACAGCAAAATCCCATCATCATGTAATGTGGAAAGATTTTGCTGCACATGTTGCTTTTTTGCTGCACATGTTTATGCAAAGCACACATACATCTCAAAAACATGAATTTCATTTCAATATAACCTTAAGAAAATGCGATTTGCCTTAACAGAATTTGGGAAAATACTAAAATAACAATACCAGACCTTAGCGCAGGGGGAAAAAGTATAGGGTCTTCTTTTTTGCCAAAAGAACTACAGTAAACAAAGCGTAACTCAAGATTTCAATGAACTCAACTTATGTTCCTTGCTGGCACTCTGTGGTTTTCTAACGGAAGTATTTTTTTAAAATAAATACCTAACAGTACTTACTATGCAGAAGTGTTCTTCCCTTTTACTATCTCTTTTAATCTTCACAACAACCCTTTAAGGGTTATTATCACAACTATTCTATATAGACCAACAAACTGGTACTGGGAGGTTGAAGAACGCATACTGCACAGGTCACAAGTCTAGTGAGTGACAGAAGGGCATGTAAACCCAGGCATTCTGACAGGAAGGTATAAGCACTCAACTACGCAGCAGGGACAGACACCAGGCATATTCTACAAGCTATTTCTGTACACAAAAGCTGCTGAGGGAATAAGGTAAACTTCTACCCAGACAGTGAGGTGAGCTAAGTGTTAGCTGCTCAGTCATGTCCAACTCGTTTCTTGCTCTGTTATGTCCGACTCTTTGCAAGCCCACAGACTGTAGCCCACCAGGCTCCTCTGTCCATGAAATTCTCCAGGCAAGAACACTGGAGTGGGTTGCCATTCCCTTCTCCAGGGGATCTTCCAGACCCAGGGATCGAACCTGGATCTTCCACATTGCAGGCAGTTAGTTTCTTTACTGTCTGAGCCACCTAAAGCAAGCTACATTTGAAGTAGCTCCCAAAGTACACAGACATGATCTGAAAGTGCATGTGAGGAAACCTGCACAGGGGTTGGGCAGGGAAGCCTCTTTTGGGCTCTGATTCTAATTTAAATTTTATATTCTGATTAAACATATATTTGTACATATATAAATATCTTAACACATCCAACATTACAAATATTTTATATACATACTTTATACATACACTATATAAATCATACACATTAATATGAAGTGCTATTCCTGACAATGTTCTACATACAATGAGAAAAACAGAAGTATTTGAAGCCTGAAAGATAAGAGGTTATGACTGCAGATATTTTAAAAGGTAGTTACAGAAGACATCTCTAAGGAGGTATCAAAAGGACAGAAGCAATCTGAATGAAAAAAGGTAGCAGACATATACCCCTTTCTGAGGAACTTTACCTCAACAATTCTTATGCCTAAAGATACCATGACTCACCCACATGCCGTCAATGAAACACCAAAGTCTTCCTCTTGGATAATTAACTAGGAAGCAAACAGGTCTGACCTTGTTTGGCCCCACTGGGATTATCACACCACTGAAGAAAATACAAATTCAAGGCTGGACCAAAAAGTGTGACCACTGAACTATCACATGCTTAATGGTGAATTTACAACAAAGCCTACAGGACATTTCTGGGTTCAGTACTCCTGTGTCCTGGGTGAGATAAGCCATTATTTTCTCTGCATTTCTCAGTGTTTTGCAGGAGATGCTTCACAAAAATAGTGGTCAAACAGTTTGATAGACAATGCACATTTCCAGATGAAGGCTAACTTATAACCACAACATTAAACTTTGTAGTATATCCACTAACATTCTGGAGAACATCAGACATTCTGGAAAACCACTGGGAAATAATGATCTGCACCATTTCTAACTAACATGGTTAATAAAATGTGTAAGCTTTAACTGACAGAGACTCAAAATAGACTAGTGGTTGCCAGGGGTTGGGGAGAGAGGATATGGGGAGAGACTGCTTAATGGGTAAGGGATTTACTCTTGATGAAACTGTGCAACTAGACAGGTAATGGTTGCACAACAATGTGTGTTAAATGTCACTGGACTGTACCCTTTAAAATGTTTAATTTTGTTATGTGAATTTCACCTCAATTGAAAAAAAGTGAGGTCTTAAAATTCCCACATCCATCTCAGTAAATTAACAGTATTTATATCTTTGTTCTTCTCTACAACGACTACTACTACAGAGCTTTTTTACTAACGAAAGTTGTGGAGGAAGGAAAGGACTCTATAAGGACACAGAGACAAGACTCCAATTCTACAAATTTCTCTACTATTGGAGAAGGTAGACTGACTCCAAACCCAGATAAGTTAAAGAACAAAAGGAGAGGCTCCTTATATCCCAAACAGTTATACAGGAAAACTGCAAGTAAGAAACGGATTCTAAGCTCTTAGCTAAAAAGTAACATAGTGCTTTATTCATCTCTTACAACGAATAAAGGAACTGCATAAATCTCAGTGTACTGGTAACCACAATTATTTCACTCTCCATCACACAACTTAGGCAAAAACTATTTATATGATAGTTTTGTTTTGCTAAGCTCCCAGGCAGTTCTTTTAACAATGGTTAAACATGATGAAAAATATTACCCAGACAGGTTGGAATAAATTGCACTTTACATGTAAGACAGTTTTAAGGATGGATGAATACATTAAGATAAAGATAAAAAAAAAAAACCAAGATAAAAATTGCTTACCCTGTTGCTAAGCACCTTCTGAACAGGCTCAGAATCATCAAACACAACAAACCCAAAATTGGGTAATTTCCCACCACTGTTAATACGCAGTTCTACCACATTCCCATAATCTGCAAGTGAAACACAGATTATCAAATAAGTTAGAACACTTTTTAAAAATATTACATGCACATTGTCCACCAAAAGCCACTAGGCACACGTGGCTGTAGGGAATGTGAACTGTGGCTAGAGCCAACACACACACAGGATTTCAAAGACTTCCAATAGGATCATGGAAAATATCTCATGTTTATATATATACTCAAATGATGTCTTAGACACTCTGGGTTAAGTGAAATACTAATTTAATTGTCCAGTTTTAAAGTGTAACTACAGGGTGATCTAGTGGTTAAGAATCTGCCTGTCAGTGCAGGGGACATGGGTTTGATCCCTGGTCCAGGAAGATCCCACATGCCGCAGAGCAGCTAAGCCTGCGTGCCACAAGTACTGAAGCCCGAGCACCCTAGAGCTGGTGCTCTACGATAAGCCACTGCAAAGAAGCTCGTGCACCACGACTAGACAAAGCCCAAGTGCAGCAACAAAGACCCAGCGCAGTCAAATAAATAAATATATCTTAAAAATAAAAAATAAAGTGTTACCAGAAAACTTAAAATTACATATGTGGCTCATTTCTATTTCTATTGGACAGCAGATCAATCTAGTGTTTAAAACTCAACAACATGGAGTGGGAGGGAGGTTCAAGAGGGAGGATACATATGTATACTAGGGGTGATTCACATTGCTGTATGGCAGAAACCAACAGCCAACAATGTAAAGCAATTATCTTCCAATTAAAACTAAATCTTAAAAAAAGATAAAAAAAAACAACTTAATAACCTACTTTGAAAAAAGTCTTTAAGCTCTGACTTGTCCACCTCATGAGGCAGGTTGCCAATGAAGAGCTGGTGACTGTCAGGGTGTCTCACAATTCTTCGGGGTTCCACATCGCCTTGCTCACCAGCCTCACGGACTGAAGAAGAAACAAAAACAGCAAGGAATGAGAAAGAAGACACCTTGCAGTAACTGTTCCATTCAGCAGTTTTCTCTCTACCCCTAAACACAGATAATTCAATTCATTTTGCAATGTATTTTTAAATCTAAGTACCCACAAATATCAACTGCCCTCCCAAAACAAGCTCTCATCCTCAACATGCCCAGCGTAGAGAAGCCCTTCTGAGCTCTCACCTGGTCTGGGTCCCCTCTGGGGAGGAACATTTATTCGCTGTTCTCGCACCCTCTGATCCCTCTGAGGCCTCTGAAGTGGAATCTGAGATTCAGGCTTAGACTCCGGGCGAGGCTGAAAAATGTATGCATCAACTTTGGCATAAAAACAAAGCAAGCTTATGTTTTTTTTCCTTTTTAAATGTTCTAACTAACAATAAGGTTTAAAACTAGAAAATGACAATTCTTGAGTTCTCTCACTGACCCCCACCAAAAACCCCAAACAAAAATAAAACACATTAAAAATCACCTTGTACCCTTTCTCCTCTGCCTTATTTGTTGCTGTTCTTTAGTTGCCAAGTCGTGTCCGACTCTTTCAAGACCCTATGGACTGTAGCCTGCCAGGCTCCTCTGTCCATGGAATTCTCCAGGCAAGAATACTGGAGTGGATGGCCATTCCCTTCTCCAGGGTATCTTCCCGACCAAGGGATCAAACCTGTGTCTCCTGCACTGGCAGGCGGATTCTTTATCACTGCACCACCAAGGAACCCTGTCTTATCTGTTAAACCTCTGTAAATTCACATTACATGAAAATTTAAGTAAATTTGCTAATATGCAAATTTAATTATAAACTCACCTGTGAAGCTGGTACTTTAACAACATGTGGGGGTATCCCAGTAACTGGAACAGCTCCACTGGGTGGAAGGTTCTTACTGGTCACAGATGCCCAAGAAAAGGTCTAAGGGAACAACACCATGAGTTGTTATTATACTTAGCAAAACAATATAGAAGTTCTAGGCTTTTGATTTCTTGTACATTATATGTGCATCACATTCTCAAGAGGCAAGACAGTTTATAAGTAACTTGAGATTCCTTTGCCCCATCACTTAAAATTTAGTACCAAAATTCCTTAGGACTTATCAAGCATCAGCAAAATATGAGCAGCTACTTCCACTCAATTTAAGTTTGTGAATCCAAGAAAATTCTCCCTCCAAAGCCAGCTCTTCCTCTTTTGATTTTCTCACTCTATGATCCAATTATACCATCTTTAGAATTTTCTTGAATTATTTCAATCAGTACCAAAATCACCAGATCTTATTTACCTCTTATCACTTCATCTTCATTGCCATGACCCTAATCCAAGATGTCATTACCTCTCTCCGGGACTACTACAGTTAAACCACCTAACTTGTCATCTACTCTCACTCCAGTAAACCTAATTTTCCACCTGCAAGCTACAGTCATGTCACCATTTCTCTTTACTACTCACCTATAAGCTGCCACACACCTATTTTATACAGACCAGCAAACTACAAACCAGGGAGGTTACTAACAGCAGTTCCCATACATAGAATAATGCTCAGAACAATTTCAAGACACTTGAAATAACTCTTAGACAAATAACAATTTAAGAACCCTGGCTGCATAAATACAGCACTAAAACATACTCCTTCGCAAAACATCAGCTGTAAAGGTTCTGTGAATTCAGCCAGTAACATCCTGGTGTGACTCATGAGAGGTAACTGAAAAGCTTCAAACTTTTGAAAAATCAGTTATTTTAATTAGAACATATTACAATTTGTTTCTACTTCTACTATAAAGTTGTCCTCAATTAGATTTCACAGAAAAGGGCAGGAAAAGTCTGCTGTGCCATGTTATTTTTTGAAGATTCACTATCATTTTTTTGTGCAACAAGCATATAGTAACATGCAATTTGAATGTAATATTAAAAAGAGGGTTTGTTGATATGGCAACAAAAGAAAACCCAAAACTTCTTGTCTGAAAGTATTCAAATTTCCTTAGAGGAGGGGAAAAAACTACTTTTGACTTTATAAAGCATATGCATCTTATCTGAGGTATGGCTCAATACGGAAGAAATTCCCCAAATGAATACAAAAATGCACCTATAAAAGTCAGCCTAGCAACAAAAAAGGAAGAGACTTTTTACAACAGAAAGAAGCAGAATAAAACTGAAGACATGCTGCATACTCTCAAGTCCTCCTGCACTGTCTGGGCTATGTCTGCTGGTGCTGGAGAAGAACTCTTCTGAACATCCTCAGGAGCAGTTTCTTCCAATACTGGCTCAGACTTTTCCTCCGGGACTTCAGATACAGGTTCCTGCTCTGGTTCTGGTTCCGGTTCAGGCTCTGGTTCAGCAACAGGTTCTTCTAAATGTTCTTCTAAGTCATTGCTTTCACAGTAAAATTTGAGAAATATCATTCTGCTTCCATTGATTTAGCAAGAAATTCCTATAGAGACCTGAAACTAAAAATAGCTCCCTCCTCCCCACAAATATCTACAAATTATGTATTTGAGTATTAAAACATGAGAACTTTTCAGAAAAGCCCTTGATGAGCAAATCAGATTTAATAGATTCCGATTAAGTAAATGCATCAAGCATATCAAAAGGAACTAGACCATTGTTTCTCAAAATCTCAAATTATCACAATTTACCTATAACATACCACAAAACTCTAATACGCGGTGGGCAGAGGGAAGAGGGAGCTGTTTAATAGGTATGGTTTCAGTTTTGTAAGATAAAAAGGTCTAGATATCTGTTGCACAGCTGTGCGCATATACTTCACACTACTATAAAGTACACTTGAAAATGGTTAAAATGTCATGTGGTTTTTACAACCAAAACATTTTCTCACACTAAAAACACATAAGGAATTTTGGAGGGGAAAAAAAAATTTGTAATTCAAAGTAGTTTTTAAACTTTCACATAAGTCATAGGAACAGTCTTTTAAAACTGCATATGCTTTCCCCCTGAACTTCTAATTTGGTAGGCTTGTGGTAAGATAACAAATCTTCATTTTCAACCAGCAACCCAGGTGAGTAAAGTCAGTCCTATCACACCTTCTAGTTCTCTCAAAGCACTTAATGCTATGCCTTTATGTATTAACACCTGATAAATCCCAAATCTATTTCCACTTATGGTGAAGAAAAAAACTGAACCAAAGCGACTTATGGATACTATTTAAGTAGGTATCAGAGTGCAATCTATATTAAACATGCTTTATATATTTATGTTATACACCAAAAGCAAAACCTTTCTTCTGGGAAATTATCACTGAGATAATTCTGAGCATTATGGCTGCCCTCCAGCAAACAGGCCTACACAACTTGTTTTCATGCAGCTCTGGACAGACGAACAAAGTTTTCCTTACCTGACAGTTTGATCATAAAAAGTTCCAGAATCATCAGGTACCACCTCAGGTGTCTGCTGTCTTTCTTCAGGTTCCTCTACTTCTTCTTCAGACTCTAAATGAGAAAAGAAATTTAATATCTTTGTGTTCACTTAATTCACAAATATATTCACTTTCACAATGTTCATCATGACAAAAAAAGGCAATGATATAAGTACATACACATAAAAAGATAAAATAGGGCAACTGGATAAAATCATGATACAGGATTTAAGGACAGAATTAAGGCTATTTTAATGTCTGGATTACAAGTATGGAATCTGAGGCAATCCAACAAATGGTTCCACCACCTAACTAGCTACATGACATCAGGCAAATGACTCCTGTGCCTTAGTTTATTAAATGGGAACAATAGTACATAACGTACTTATCTGTAAGGTTGTTGTATTACAGCCTTAAATAAATACAAAGTACTTAGAATTCTCAGTCATACAGAAAACACTAAAATACAGTCTCTCTCCAGAGCAATGGGCAAGTGTATTTGCTGACCATTATAAGGTTTCAATTACTAAATTAGGGTTCCACTCTAGTAACACACCCCACTGCAGTGGAGGTACCACCTAAACTTCTGCAGAGTCCTACGCAAACTGTGACCAAGATGCTACTACTGCTGCCATAACTTGTCTACTAACTTAGGAGTTCGATGTGTCCCATCAGTACCAGTGGTGTAGACTTAAGCGGTTGGCCTCAAATAGGTTAAAATCACCAAGATTTCTTATGTCTTAACAATTAAAAGTTGCTAATGAAAAATACAGAGAATTACTAAACCATTCAAGAAAATTACACTCTCTTCAAGTCAAACTGATGCCATCCAAAAAACAATTTAGACAAATAACTTACCCTCCTGAGGTTCAGTGATAAAGCCACCAAAGACTTCATCTTGGTATCTGAAGATATCATTGTGAACATAGAACTTATTTGCAACAGAGCCCTGTAATGCCAACAAAAAGTTTCATTTATCAGCAGACTTTTAAAACTCCAAATTACCCTACACCAAATTACCCTGGCCATTAGTTCTCAACTAATGGCGATATTGCCCATCCCAAGAGACATTTGGCAACTTCTGGAGACATTTCAGTTCTCCCACGGGGGAGCAGAACCGACAGTCGCCGAGTGGAGGGCAGGGATATCACTAAGCATCCTCCATCGCACAGGACAGCCCCGACAACAAAATGATCCAGGCTCAAATTCTAAGAGTCAAGCTGGAAAAGATCCTTGCTCCACCCTCAAATAGGTTAAAATCTCCAAGATTTTAAGACTTAACATGTTTGTTAAGAAGCACTCATATATACTGAGTGCTTAAAATACCACCAGATGAATATCTAAAAATCGATCAATTATTTAAGATGCCAAAACCCAAATTTCAAATCATTTCTTGAAAAATAAATACATATTACCAACTGTGCATTTTAAAATCCCCTAAATCTGTATCTAAGAATACTGACACAAGCACTCAAATGTGGTATAGCTAAAAAGGTTTGCCTACCCTAGGTATAAGACACACTTAAGTTGAAATCTAACTATGTCATTTACTAGTCATTCAATTTCTAAGACTGTTTCTTCACCTGTAAAATGAGGGATACTAACTCATGCTAGAGTTTTGATTATTAAATGCGACAGTTTATGAAACAATCCATTATACTTAGGTAATATTGAAATCTTCCTCCTCAAAGATAGTAAGTAAATTTATGGTACTTATTAATATCCCATGATTTCTTGCATATTTAAGTCAATCAACAATTTTAACACTACAGATAATCTAAGCCTTTTCAAGAAATCATGACTAAACTGACTTCACATGATTTTTCAAACAAACTGAGTTATTTTATATTTAAACAGTAAAACGACAGGGATTTTAGACTCACTGTCCTTCAACAGAAAATTATCTTAAGGGTAATGCTACAGAAAACTTTCAGCCAGCAAGTCATCATGAGCCCCTTCCACATGCTCACACAGATCAGACAGGATTCCTAACTTTGCTCACTCTGGACCAGGCGAGAAGACACTTCAAATGCAATTAATCAACATAAACCTGTGGTCCTTTCATGATAACATGAAAACTAAAAAAAAAAAAAAAAAACACAACACCACCAGGACTCCTTGAAGAAACAGCTGATTCCAGAACCGGGGTGGAGGCTAGAGCAGGGAAAATGCAAGGTGATCCTGAAACTTCCTGTGCCATCAAGTGCCCTGTTCCCAAAAAGACCCCATCAAACAAAAAAACCAAACCCACTCAAAAGGGTTCACACTTAGCAGATCTGGAACATTTTAGAAATCAATAAAAGTTATTAAATCTATTAAACAAAGATCCCATGATAGCTAGGAGAAAAGGTAAAGTTACTTACAGGAGAATGCCAACGAATAGACAAAAAAAAAAATTTAGATGATCACCATTTGTACCCATCCGAGTAGCAGTTGATTCTGGCAAGAATTAATGAATGCTTAAAACTAATACCTAAAAAGTTTGATGAAGAACATAAGTACATGCACAGTCTCAAAAAAGCCCACAAGGAATCCCCTGGTGGTACAGTGGCTAAGAACCCATCGGGCCAATGCAGGTCTGGGAAGATTCCACAAGCCTTGGAGCAACTAGGCCCGTGAGCCACAACTACTGAAGCTCACACACCAAGAGCCTATGTTCCACAAGAAGAGAAGCCACTGTAATAAAGAGTAGCCCCAGGAGGCCACCAGGTAGAGAAAGCAACAAAGACCCAGAGCAGCCAAAAATAAAATAAATAAAAAAGAAGCACGCATAATTTACAAACTGATGAGAAAAGCAAAAACATTAACTTTACATACATGTTAACCTGGTGACCATCACCTTAACTAAGTAATACTAATAATAGGACTGCTAACTGCTACTGCTAAGTCACCTCAGTCGTGTCCGACTCTGTGCGACCCCATCCCTGGGATTCTCCAGGCAAGAACACTGGAGTGGGTTGCCATTTCCTTCTCCAATGCATAAAAGTGAAAAGTGAAAGTGAAGTCGCTCAGTCATGTCTGACTCTTCGCGAACCCATGGACTGCAGCCTACCAGGCTTCTCCGTTCATGGGATTTCCCAGGCAAGAGTACTGGAGTGGGGTGCCATTGCCTTCTCCAAATAATAGGACTAAATGATATAATTGCTGAAAGACACGTATAACCTAAAACTAATAAGGAAATACCAGACAATTTAAACTGACACATTCTACATGGTAACTTGATTGTCCTCTTTAAAAATGTCTACATCTTGATAAACAAAAGATTAATGAATTACAGCAGATTAAAGGAACCTAAAAAGGCATAACAGCTAAACAAAATGTGTCATAATGAGCTGAATCTTAGATAAGGAAAAAAAAAATACTATTCTTTGTATTACTGGAACAGTAACTGAAATTTAAATATGGACTATAGATGGATAACTGTATTACAAATATTTTTTTAAATATTGTATTTATTTATTTGGCTGTGCCAGGTCTTAGCTGCGGCACATGGATCTAGTTCCCTGCTGCTTAGCTGCTCAGTCATGTCTGCCTTTTCGACCCTATGGATTGTAGCCCGCCAGGCTCCTCTGTCCATGGAATTCTCCAGGCAAGAATACTGGAGTGGGATGTCACATCCTTCTCCAGGGGATCTTTAGGAATCAAACTTGGGCTCCCTACACTGGGAGAGAGGGGAAGTCTTAGTGACCGGACCACCAGGAAGTCCCGTAAATACCTCCTGACTTTGATTAAGAAGTGAAATGCTCATTCTTAAGAAATGTTCACTTCAGTATCTGAAGATGACTAGCCACAATGTCTCCAACTTACTTTTCAAACAGTTTAGAATTAAAACTGACCAAAAAAAAAAAAAAAAACTGACAGGTATATAGAAAAAGAACTATATAAAAAAACAGAATTATAAATGTGTGGGCAAATGTGGCTCTAGGTAAAAGAACATGTAGGAGTTACTACTGTACTATTTCTTCAACTCTTCTGTAAATTTAAAATTTCAAAAATTAAGTTTTTATGACATGTATGATTTTTTTATCTTTTTTTCATACCTCAGGAGCAAGGACAAAGGTCTGCATGAATCTCCTCAAAGCCTGGTTGTTATTAGAAAGCAAGCCCATCACCTGGACCACCACACCGTCATTCAGAGTAGCATGAGCATCGACATGGCGGATCTTAGTGTGGCAATTGGTGAAGTTTTGTGACATCACTTTCCTATGGATTTCCTAAGGAATCAAGGCAAGAGATAAGGCAGAATCTCCAATAACAACAAAAACCTTTCTAACACAACAAAGAGCATTTATCTCCATACATCTGAATTACAAACTACAGAGACCTCACTGTAATTTGTCTTAGCATACTATATTTCCAGTGACACCCTGACTTTTTAAAATTGTCTTCAATTAACATACCTAAAAATGTTTACAATAGGTGATCTCCATGCTAAAACCATTTATCTTCAAACATAAAAAAACTTCACAGAGTATATCACACCAAATGAACGAAGAAATTTTCAATGACTGATAAATCAAGTAGTTACTGAATATCTAAATTTCTAAACAGCAGTTGACAATTTTGATTTTCAAATATCAACAAACATTGAGCATGTATCCACCTCAATTCTATGGGTTACTTCCTAGCTGATCAACATCCTACAGAAAGCTTGTTATGCTTATGCTTACTTTCTGTCCATAGACGGCATCTGCTGGCTTTCCATTTGAATCCAATCCCCCATGGACATAAGAAGAGTTCTTTCCATAAAACCTGTAAAACAGAAAGATACTTGTCATCTTCAAGCACCCTAAGACCAGGTATTTATTGTTCATGTTTGAACCCATCTGCTTCACTAGTACATTCTTGGAGGCATGAACGTGTTTTCTTTCTTATCTTTGTACGCATCCACCCCCTACATTCATAACGTTTGCTTAATGGTCATGAATTTGGTCAAGGAATTTTACAAGTCAAAAGTTCCAGGTCTCAGGAAAGGATGGTCGTGTTGGAAGAGATCTTGTAGTGCACCTCAGGAAGGCCACTTAACACCCAAGTCCCTGTTTTCACTCATGGAGAAGAGACGTAGTCTTGAGATAGATAAGGACTTCTATGGACTGCCCTGGTGGCTCAGCAGTAAAGAATCCACCTGCCAATGCAGGAGACTCAGGTTCCATCCCTCGGTGGGGAAGGTCCCCTGGAGAAGGAAATGGCAACCCACTCTAGCATTCTTGGCTGGAGAATTCCATGGACAGAGGAGCCTGGTGGGCTATAATCCAAGGGGTCGCAAGAGCTGGACAAAACTAAACAGCTATTCTCTCCAGTCTTGGAGCGTCCTTTTCTCCTATCTGACAACGCATGTGATGAATTCCCATTAAAACCCAGTAACTCAGGCAGAAGGGTTTAAGGAGTTCCATTTTTGTTGATGCATTAGGAGCTTCAGACTTAATTAATTCTCCATAACTTTAATTCACCTATCTCTTCAACTGTTTTGTTTTCATTACAACAATACTGAATTAGGAAGGTGCCAACAACTTCTGCCCTACCCTGCCAACACACACACACACACACACACACACACACATGCAATGCCCTAACTCGGGGATAATAACTATTAGGATTTCTTGGCACCTGTACTCCAGAAAAACAATCTTTCACAAACGAGCCCATATTTTTCTCTATCCTGATTGTCTCCCCCCTGCTACCCAAAAAAGGACAGATCTGGGCCCTTCAGTTCAGTTGCTCAGTCCTGTCCGACTCTTTGCGACCCCATGAATCACAGCACGTCAGGCCTCCCTGTCCATAGGGATAGCCAAACTACCTTTCAACTTTTAAAGTTACTAAAAGGCTCCACATCAGCCAGCCACTTAGTTCACTGCTGGCAAATCCACTTTTCATTGTATCTAAAATGTACCTCAGAGATTAAATGTGAAAAAATACATGTGTTAGAATCAATAAGTAACAACAGTGACAAGAAATATATTTGGTTAGTTTGTTTCAACTCCTACTCCATTTTAAATTCTAAATGTATCTAACTACTAAAAGGAAAGAATACAATTGACCAAAAAATAACAAAAAGGGGGATATTTATGGTTTAAAGACTTATTCTATCAATAGTCCTGTGAACACCAGTAAATTTTTAAGCCCTTGGTGTCTTTACCTGTGAAATGAAGTTAATTATTCCACAAGGCCTTACACTAAGAGCTTCTTTTTTTTTTAAAGATCAAGAAAGGTATAGGAAAAAAAATAGTTCTGTTCCAACAAATACACATACATTTTAAAATTTCTAAAAAGTATTCTAATAATTCCACATAAATAAGAGTTTTCTATAATGCAGCATTGTTTATAGGAGGAAATATTGGAAACAACATATATTCATCATTAGTGGAGTAACATAATTTTTTAGAAAATAAAAATTTCATGGATATTAAAATTAATATGATACATGTACTATCCTTGTAAGATAACATAGTATCAAGCTAAAACACAGCATAATAAAAATATTTGCATCTACACAGAAAAATTAGCAGTTTTTCTAAAGACTCCCATGTTTATTTCATACGTTTTAATTTACAACAAACAAATCATTTCCACAAAAAACATACATCCTTATTTTTTTAAAGCATATTAACACAGAAATATGTCAGAACAGGGAACAGTCTTGTATCTTCAATACATTCATAACTAAATAATTCACGGTTCACCAAAAGAGAAAAGTAAGCAAAAAAAAAAAAAAATCAAAAGTACAAATATACATTTATATTTCAAGCACTATTTTTCCGATAATGTATAGGAAACTTTGTCCAGTTTTCAAATATTTACATATTCTACTATTATATAATTTGAATACCCATCACTTTTTGGTAGTTACAAAGCATTTTTATGCAACAACCCTAGACAGCACATAATGAATCACAGAATCTTTTTATTTTCAACTGAAGGTTAACTACAATATTGTGCTGTTTTCTGCGATGTAACAATATGAATCAGCCATAGGTATACATATGTCTCCTCCCTCTTGAGGGAATAAGAGCATCTTAAATACTCACATACTAAAACACATTAGGTGATACTCAGGGGAAAAAAATTTTACCTGTGTAGCATGTCTGGGGCCTGGTTCAACAGTGTGTAATACTGTCTCACAAATTCCCGCCCGACCAGCAGGGGACTAGGCTTCTCCATAACCATTGCTTTGGTCAATTCAACCTGGAAAAAAATTAAATATGTTCTACCTGATAGATCAAGTATAAGGGGAGAAAGGAGCAGGGGAGAAGACTGAATCATTTAGCTGAGACTGACTCATAGACCAAAAAGATCACTTCAGCAATTCTTGGGTTTTAAAAGGAATAAACATTATAAGAAACAAAGCAAACCCACACAGACCAGTGAGATTTTATACATTCAAATTTACTGTAATCAGACAAATGCTATGGGGGAAAAAAATCCTGTGAAGAATTAACTCATTATTCCCAATATTCAATTTTCATAAACTGAACATAACAACATCAAAGGTACATATTTGCAACATGCATTCCAAGTTTCCCAAGCTAGTAAACTCAATTAAGAGGGTTCCACTTGGGAGGGGGGGGAGTGTTCCACCTGTAATATCACAACATATTACCGTGGCAATATTAGGTTCAAGTGCAACAACACAGCTTTGACAATACAGATACACAATATCACATTTTTAGTCAAACTAAATCAGAAATTTTTACTACCTTTTAAAAATTCTAGAGAGAGGTGGGAGGGGGGACCAGGATGGGGAATACATGTAAATCCATGACTAATTCATTTCAATGTATGACAAAAACCACTGCAATGATGTAAAGTAATTAGCCTCCAACTAATAAAAATAAATGGAAAAAACAATTCTAAATTTCTTATTTTATAATAAGATCAAAAAATGAAAACAGGCAAAAAGTAACAAGCAAGATGTTTTTATTCAACAAAATAACGCCTGCCATCTCAAAATTAAGACTTAAAGTGAGTATGCTGGAATATTTAAAAAGGCACCTGGCACATAGTAAGTTTTCAAACACTGTCACTTACTACTTTTAAAAGCCCTTTCAAAACAGTATTTGGCATGAGATCACCCAATTTTTCATTTGAGGAGATAAAATCACCCTGAACTTTATAAACATAAAGGCAAAGAGAGGTATGTATAACCAACTATAGCAAAAAGACGAAATGAGAAATTGCATTACAATTTTCTTAAAGAATGGGCAAAATGGATTGAGTTTGATTCTTGCACAAGCAGGATGTAGAGATATTTATCCTTCACTAGTCCATGACTGCATTATTCTTAAATTACCTGTACCATTTATTACTTGTTTCACAAAACTCGAAGAAACTACACTAATAACATCAATCTAATTGTATCCTTTGACACTGCTAAGTAGTTTCATTAAAATTTCTAAATAATACTTTATCAAATACTGCTTACCACATTCAATCTTCTCATGCAAAATGATGAAAATACTCCAGGTTACAATATCAAAGGTTAAGAAAAACTTACAGACCACATCTACAACTTTTCCTTTCCCTTTGAGATTATCTAGATAATTCAAATTTAAAAAACAAACAAACAAACAAACAAGCCTATCAACTTGATTACACCATTATCATCAATATTTTATCTTAGGTCACTGCCATAAGGCCAAGAAAGGGTAACATACTGATATTTATATAGCAAATTGATCTTTACCTCATTTGTGATTTTTTTCCTTTGTTATAATTCTGAAGCTTCTCATAAAAATCTGTATTATTCACCAAGTTTCTTATTAGTTTGACAGTTTATAGAATTGAGTATCTTGCAAACTAGGGTCTCGATTAGCATTTTTAAATGTTTCAAATAGATGACACTTTATTTCAGGATTACCTCATACAGCCTTGCAGACTCCCAAGGATTATATTCACACTACAAGTACTATATGGTTCCATTAAATTGGAAACTCCAGCTCAAGTCTCTCCTTTAAGCTCATTTATAATAAATATCAACCAATCAGCTCAAGGGAAATGGTAGCAGTACTTAAAACAATACTTCTGTCAATTGTATCTCAATAATTGAGGAAAGAAGGGAAAAAACAGTATTTGAAAAGTAATTGTATCTCAATAATTGAGAAAAAAAGAAAAAGTAACAGAATACACACAGAATGCACATAGTATTTAAGTGATAAGAAACTATATTGCTTCAATGCTTTAAAAAAAAGGGGGGGGACTGATTCTTAAAATAGCCAATGGCTTCAAGAATTCTACCTAAGTCACCGTCAGATAAAAAGAACATTTGCAAGAAGGCTGCAAGCTTCCTTTAAGAATTAAAGTTTCTTAAGGGACCATTTCTTATGTCTAGCTCCAAAACTGTTTCTGACACACTCAGGAATAAAAAGCTTTCTTTCATTCATCATTTTCATCACAAAAGAGGTTTATCTTTTTTTGTTGTTGTTGTTAGAATTTTAAACAAGCAAAGCAGATTTTTGATCATCCATTTGTCAGGCTGAACTGTCAAGGTTGTCCTGAATTCAGATTACAACAGCAGGTAGATATTTTTTTCCCAATGATTAAGAAAAGGCCAAAGAGAAAACTAAGCAAAGGTGCTTAGGAAAAAAAAAAATCTAAGTTGCCTGAGAGGGAAAAGACTGGGAAGGACCTGAGGGGAACTGCCTGGGGTGAGGGGACTCACATTTGAGTGATGACTTATTGTATAAAACTAAAAAACTTCAAATTGAACCTTTAAATTCCATAATTTTGTGGTTTGTAAATTATGCCTCAAAAACTTAAATAAAAATGCTTTCACATGAAAAAAAATCTTGACATGATAAACTGTTTTAGAATAATTAAGAATACTGAACACCTAACTGCACCAGTGACTACAAAATGTTTGGGGAAGTTCTTCAGTAATCTAAGACCATACTCTGTAAGTTTTGTGAATAATATCAGCATTTCCAGTAAAAAAAAAACAAACTGTAGGACTTCCCTGGTGGTAAAGAGGCTAAGAATCTGCCTGCCAATGCTAGGGATGCAGGGTCGATCCCTGACCCAGGGAGATTCCACATCCTGAGGAGCAACTAAGCCATGAGGCCCAAGCACTGGTCCCACACTCCAGAGACTGCGAGCAACAACCACCGAGCCTGCGTGCCTAGGGCCTGCGCGCCACAGCAAGAGAAGCCACTGCAGCCAGAGAAAGCTCAATGCAGCAAGAAGGCCCAGCCCAACCAAAACGAAACCTTTGGCATTTGAACCCAAAAGATTTAGTCTATATGAGACTCAATCAATTCTCAGCAGAAATTTGGTAAATTAGCTCTCTGAAATCTCCATCTTCATTTCTGGTCCAAACATAAACCAGAAGCTATGAGGAATATGTTAACATCATACCTCCTGAGAATAAAGTTCTCACCCTGGTTCATTAGAACTCTCAATTCTATCAAATTCTATCTAAAATAATGAAAGCAAACAAAATCAAATTGCATTTTCTCAGAAAAACTAATGTTTTACCAGTTCCTGATCTATTATAATTAGAATCTATGCATACCAATGAAAATATATGCTAAAAATTTCTCAAGATCCTCCCTTATTTATTAAACACTCCTGAAACACCATGTCCCTCTAGGAGAGCTTTTGCAACTTTAGAATACTATGGATTCTGGTTGTTACTTATATAACAGCACATGCCAATGGATACATTACTGACTGGACTATGAAGCATGTACCATAATCAGAAATAGGAAACAAACTAGACAGTTTTATCCTTTTTAATTATCAACAGCAAATCCTCCTTCCCCGTGATGATGTGAAGACTGAGACTTCCTAAAATATAACATGCCACTCTCCCAAGACCAAAAAAGTCTGCTGAACATTCCAAATATATCTAATTTGGAGATCATTCTCTTAACACTGCTTTCAGATCTAAAGGATAAACTTTTGGGGGCATATATTACAAATCACTGAGAAATCATTTTAGTCTAGAAAGTTCAGTGATGAAAGAAACAGGACCTGGCAAAAAATAAAGGGAAAAGGAAGAAATCACTCACTTCCATTCAAGTTTACATTCCACTAATTTTATATACAACTTTGTAATATTGTGACTGTCATAATATGCTAAAAGGGGCATGGGGACAAGAAAAACATATTTTAAAAATTATACTTTCTCTTACTTTTTCAAGAAATACTTTAAGGTCCTAGGTTAGAGAAAAAGGAATTACAGAACAGTTCTTGCTCTAAAGAAGGAAAGGAAAACATGGCCACTTAGAAATACTTAAAGAAGCAAAAATAGAAAATAATACCTTCAGTTTACCAGCTCAAACTGAACTGAACTGATAAATCTATGACCAGTAAGATATAACAAGTGAACTTTGAAACAGAGTGCTCTATTTTAAAACAGTGAATGAGTACCTCAGATGCAGCAAAAGGAAACCCTCATATTTTCTTTGACCAATTCTCCCAGGGCAAAATTTTAACACCCTCCACTACTGTATTCCTGAGCTAGTAACAATTTTTCTAATGCCCCTCAGTTCTTCCATCTCTAAAATTAAAATCATAACTGCAGGAACTTAGTGTATGGTAGTAAGCACTTAATATTAACTGTTACTATATGTTACAATATAATGATATTGTAACCATTAACTGTAACAAAAGGAAACATTTCTACATTCCACCATTTTCTGTCACCCAGAAGACTATTTCCTTAACCATTTTGCTAGCACAATAAAAACAGGATTATCTCCTGCAAGAATAAGAATTTTTGTCCAGAGTACCCTTGGACTACAAAAACCCAAGCACCTAATATAAAACTATATTTCATTGAACTTCTGGGTTAACTTGATGACAACAGTGTTCCACTCATGAATGCCACATAGGAAGACTCGCCTGTATGCCCAGAGAATGTAACTGGTCCAATTAAACTGTAAAACCAAATCAAGTGCACGTCTTAGTATCTTAACTTTTAAAACATGCATCGTGTTGTGTTTTAAAAGATAAAATTATTTTTGTATGTTTACACTATGTTATATAAAAAAGTTTCTACTCTTTAAAAAATATAAACAAAGCATCATGTATATTTTTGCTCAGTGGCTCAGTCGTACCCAACTCTTTGCCACCCCATGGACTGTATCCATGGAATACAGCCTGCCAGGCTCCTCTGTGCACGGGATTTTCCTGGCAAGAATACTGGAGTGGGTTGCCATTTCCTACTCCAGGGGATGTTCCCAATC